TCTGTATTTGACAAAGTTGTCCTTCGGAAGTGAAGAAGCACCGAGCACTCCTGGGGCAGCCAAGAACTGGGAGCATTGGTCATCAGGGCGCCCCCCTCACAAGGAACGTTAAAAGAAGTCCCTTAGGGAGAAAGAAGATGATACAGGTCAGATATTCATTGCCACACGAAAGGAGGAGCAGCTGGGTGTGTGCGCGCGTTTGTCGTCTCAGCCCAGGAGTAAAAACATAATGACAGAGAAAGAAAAAGGAAAGAAAGACCAGAAGAGAAAGGAGAAGCACGAAGGAACAAATGAAGGCAAAATCAAGAGATTCAAATGGAATATGAGCAAAACGTTGCGAAGAGGGATTTCTCCGAAGGATATATGCAGAAGGCAAAGAAGTACGTATTCATAAATATTAAATAAATATTAACACCAAATGACAAGTGCAAGGTCCCAAGTTCGATCCCCAGTACCAAACAAACAAACAACAACAAAAACCAAATGAGATATGACTATGGAACTGTCAGAATGAGCAAACTTTAAAAAGTGACAACACCCGAAGTGGGTGAGAACGTACACAAACTGATTCATTCATTTATTGCAATACCCGACACTTGAAGTCTGAGGGAGGAAAGGTGTAATTTGATTCACAGTTCAAGGAGATTCAGACCATGGTCAGCCAGTTCCCCGACAGAAGCATCAGAGTGGACAGTGTGGTGAGCGGAACTGCTTATCTCATGGCGGTGGGGAGCAGCGCTGGGAGACCGGGAGGGGAACCGCGTGCAGGTCACGCCTCTGTGGCCCACCTGGACACACCCAGGAGCACGCTGTGCTGAGGTGCCAGGTGTGTCCTTCATCCAAAGAAGCTGACATATTCAGGCTAATGGTCACAAAGTTTTTCCCTGAGAAATGATGACTTACATTTATAGAAAAACCTGTTCATGACTGTTGATGTCACGTTTATTTGGAACAGACAAACTCTGAGTAAAAACTCCAGATGCCCAACAATGGGCAAAGAGTTAAAGAAGCTGTGGCACAACCGTACTGTGGAATATTATTCGGCAATAAAAAGGAACAGCTATCAATATATGCAGTGATCTGGATAAATTTCCAGAGAATTTCACTACACATTTATTCTAGAATTCCAGATAATTTTAAAGGTTGAGTTTTGTGTGACTGTTAATATAACACTTGAAGTGATAAATTATAGACATCCTGATCATGCAAATAGTCTGGTCCCCTTGGAAGAGTGAGGACTATATCCACCTAGAGGAAAGGCCTCTGGGCTAGCCCAGGTGGCAGTTCTATCACTAGCGGGCCACTGGGGTTCTAGCAGGTTTTCCAAAGGTGAAATTGTGAGTGCAATTTAGTCTGGTTGAACTAACCTTCCAGTAAGCGCTCACACAGGACCAGCAGCACCATGCAGAGCTATGTCTCAGGGACAGCAGTCCCCATCTGACCAGCTAGAAACACGAGCACTTTGGAAACCCTGGGTTCTTTTGCAGATAGTTTGTGTACGTAAGGAGATGGCTAAATTATTCTCCAAAAAAGTTAATACAAGTCCTGCTAAAAGTTCATTCTAAATGCTTGTCCTAAAATACACTAGCACCCTTTTCATGTGGGGGAAATCTAAAAGCTTGTGATAGGGCTGCTTGGACAGTCTCAGGTATTTCTAGGACGAATGCCTCTATCTTCCTGTCAGAGGAGAGTCCAGTGTTCCCTGACAGCAGCATCACCCCCGGGCTGCAGCACCAGAGAAAAAGGACAGAGCTCTGTCTCTCCTAGGTGGCTAGTCTGAAACTTTCCTGCAGTGACTGTTCCCACTTGAACATCATAACTTCGTTCCATTGCCCACTTAGAATGACTAGAGAATCGAGTACAAAAGGACAACCTTTTTGTGGTTGCAGTCTTTTCCGCTGTCTTCAAGACCCTGACCTCATACTGCTCTCGAATCTCCTTTCAGTAGATCATGTTTTCTCCCACTTTCTGTCAAAAGTATCAACTGCTTTATCTGTCTTCCTCAAGACATGTCCAGAGGCTCATATATATGTTCCACATTCCTCTCTTTCTCAGCACAGAGTTCCATTAGGATGTTTGATTTTAAATCACAGAAACCCAATTCTAACAGGCTTAAGAAAAATGTGGCTTTACTGTAAAGGTCCAGGGCATCTTGGACATCTCTGCATGAGGCTAAGTCCTGGGCATGGCTAGAGCCAGAGATCTCTTTGCCATCTGGACTGTGTCCTGTCCACGCGTCTCTCTTCGCGACTGTGTCGTTTTTCTCTTGGTGAGCCGGTTCCGACCTCCCATGCGTAGCACCCGGGTTTCCACCTCCATTCCTTAGGCACCCGGCCGGAGCTGGTGGAGCTCAGATCTCCTTTCAAGGTCCCACCGGAGCTTTCTCATCCGCTGGCTGGGGCCAAGACCCACCCCTGGGCCACTGTGTCCACCCACAGAATCCGGTCACAGTGTGTCCATGGCTGTTCCTACGGCAGCCATCTGAATGCAGTTAGAGATGGGAAGGGGGAGGCACAGTCTCCACAGAGGGAGGAGGAGGTGTCGGAAAGGCGGGATGCCAGGCCAGACATCCCTGCTCTCTCGGGCACACTGCAGACTCTGTAGTGAAATCTCAATTCCGACTCTTCCCATCTTCTTTAGGGTCTAGGTTCGCTGATGACCCACCCCTTTTGGTCCTCTCTAAGTTTAAGCCTGTTCTGTTCAGGCTCCTTTCCTTTGGGCTCACGTTTGCTCAGAACTCGGCTGTACCGAAGCACTGCCCTGTTGCCTCTTTCCAAGTTCCAATCTGTGCACCTTCTCTCCTGCCCAACGTTAACTGTGCTGTTACGGTTTCCGTCTGGATGTCCCTAAGAGTCCCTTGTACTCACGGCTGGGGCTTTTGGGAGGTGACTGGATTGTGGGGGCTCATAGCTGACTGCTTTAGGAGGTGGGGTCTGCTTGGAAGAGGCGGTCACTTTATCTCCCTTCCCTGCTCCTTCCCCACCTGCTTCCTGGTTGCCACGGAGTGAGCGAGTTTTCCTCCACCAGGCCCCTCTGCCCTAGAGCCAAACAACTATGGACTAAACCTCTTCACACTGTGGGCCAAAATAAACCTTCCCTCCTGTACACCGCAGGCGTGGAGTATTTTGTCCCAGTGATAAGGAAAGTGACTGAAATGCCCCTTTGTTACTCATTACCTCGGCCTGGCCTTCCTCCCTCCCATCCTTCCTCAATGCCACCTCCATTCCCCTGAGGTGTTTCTTGGTCTTTGAGAGGCTGAGGAGTGGCAGACTGAAGACGGTAAGCAGGACACACAGGCCTGCCACCCTGTGATGGCCCAGCGCAAGCCTGTACAGCCCCGTGCACTGTGGGCTTCTGGACTATGCGCTGTGGCCTTGACCTGGCCCTGAATTTTCTACTTCCTGGTTCCATAGCGTCTGTGGCCATGGAGCTACTGGCCCAGCCAGGCTGCGGACCTGATAAGAGACCGGGGCCTTCTCAGAGGGGAACGAATGGCACCGTGCACAGAGACCTCTGGCCCTTGGCCTCTGCAGACGGGAGCCTCTGCTTGTTGGCTGTGTTCTCTGGAATGAAAAAGAAAGGTGATGACAGGCTGCCCAGTACTGCTTCTCCAAGGGTCACTGCTGCTAAAAGACAAGACCTCAATCCTCACTTATTAGCTCAAATGTCTTCTGTTCTCAACTCGATGACCTTCTTTCTTCATAGCACCTTTGCCTCTTGGCTTTTTGTTTAAAACATTCTATAATGGGAATTTTATTTATTTTTTAAGTTTTTGGGTACCAGGGACTGAACTCAGGACCATGTGCTTGCAAGGCAGGCGGTGGAACCACTGAGCTAAATCCCCAGCCCTCTATCATGGGAACTTTAAAATATGCTCTATGCTTCAGCTGGGACAACTTAAAGGAAGCGAGGTGTGACTTGGCTCATGGTTCCAATTGAGGTCAGAGGGCTCCCGGGCCAGAAGCACCATGGTGGAGTAAAGCTGCTAACTTCACAGTGGCCAGGGAGCAAAGAGCAACGGAGAAGAGATGGCCAGGCCAGACCTGTCCCCAGGCCGCATCTCCACGGCCCTGGTCCCACCCAGAAGTGGGCCTCATTGCCCCTCAGAGCTCTCAGGCCAAGCAGTCAAGGTTGCTCCATCCAGATTCCCACCCGGCGCCCCTCCCTGGGTGCCTCAGCTACTAGGTGTTATCTGGGCCGGTTTGAATGTTTATCACCAAGTAACTCCTCACACTTTTTTTTTTTCCAGAGTTGGGGACCTAACCCAGGGCCTTGAGCACGTCAGGGAAGCACTGTGCCACTGAGCCACACTCCCAAACCACAACTCCTTTTTTATTTGCTTACTTTCAGGTTAGGTCAGTTTATTGAGGTATAATTTACATGCATAAAAATTCACCCTTTTAGGTATAGTCTTGTTTTATAAATTCATTCAATCACATAACTGCCACAGTCAGCATACAGAACAGTTCTATCACCTCCTCAAATTCCTCCACGCCCATTGCAGTGAATGCCTTCCCTCTCTCATCCCCAGGCAACTGCAGGTCTGGGTTCGAGTTGCACAGTTTTAGCTTTTCCAGAATGCCGCAGAAGCAGAGTCACACAGTATGCAGCGTTTTGAAACCTTGCCTTTAAAAACATAATTATAACGCTATCATCACATTACCCTGAAATCAGCAAGAATTTCCCAATTTCATAAAATACTGTGCTCACCTTTCTATAGTTGTGTTAAAATGTACACGTTTTAATACTCTCAGAATGTAAATGAAGTGTATACGCTGACATTGGTGATGGCTCTCTGATCTCTTTCTGTACATTTCTTCCCCATCTGTTGCTTCGTTTAAGAAACTGAATGCCGGGCATAGTAGGGCACACCTGTATCCAGGTACTCAGGAGACTGAGATGGAAAGATCCAAAGCCCAAGGCCAGTCAGGCCACAGCCGGATCCTACCACCCACAAGAGAAAATAGACTGCGTTGTTACAGGTCACCGGGACTTGACGGATGGCGTCCACCTCCATGGCGTCATTTCTGCCTCTCCTGGTAGCCGTCCACAGACCCGAAGGCTGTCCGGAACACCTCTCCGAGCCTACTGAATCCGAACCTGCATCTGCAGTTCTAACACTGAACCCGGCCCCCACGATCTTGCTCTGTAAATTGGTAGTGACAGATCCGGTATTCCTGCATTTAGGCTCTTTTTCTACTAATTTTAGTTTTGGCCAGCCTGCGAGGGTGGGTGTGCACCCCTTGTCTCTTGGCCTCGACCACATGCTCCTCTCCGCGCCCCTCTGCCCACTGGCAGTCTCTGTGGTGCCGGCATCTGTCGGGGGTGCTGTCTGCTCCTGCCCGCCTTTTCCTCTCCCCTGGCTTCCAGGTATATCACCTGGCCCTGATCCACGGCTCTGTACTCCCGGGACACCCCCAGTCTCCTAACTTGCCTTTCAGTCATCAAGACTGCTTCTGCCCAGACAGCCAGCCGCCCTGTGGACTCCAGCCCGGCCTAGCTTTATTCGTCTCCTTGCCTTGTCATCCGTAAGTCGTGCCGGGGTAAGACTCTGTGGTTCACAACACAGTGTAGTTCTGCTGCATGTCAGCTGTGGGTTGGCTGCAGTTCTGATCTGCTTCATGTGTTTTCCTCATTCTAGGGCCTAGATCAAAGGACAGCCCCATCTGGAGACAGTAGAGGAAAGGAGGGTGGCAAAACCAGGGAGAGCATCCAGAGCCCATGCTAAGGGGTGGTCCGAGTCAATTCCATGAACATCTATTGGGCACAGAAGACAAGACAGTGAAGTTCTATGCTGGAGGTTTGGGAAGTGCGTGCGGATGTCTACAGCGAGGGTGTGGCCTGTCCGGCTCCCATCTTGCATCTCCATGGCACCCCTTAACCCAGTTCCCTTCACCCCTGCCGGAAACGCCACTTTTCCTGGCTAAGAACCGACTTTCTTGCAAAGATTTCCTTGATGCCCTCAGACGAGGCCACATTACTGCGAAGGCTCTTGTGGTCTTGTTCCTCAAGGCCTGTGGCACAGTTCTAGTTATTTCTGCATCTGTTTAATTTCTAACTCCCCCTGCACTGCGTGTTCCTTGATGACAGAGACAGTGTCAGTTTTGCTCAGCAGTTTATCCTTGGCACCTGGAAGTGCTGTGCACAGAGTGAGCATTCGCAACTGTTGGGTTGTATTCTAATGGTTTGCTTCTGTGCCTGACTAGAATAAGCTCCATGCGCTAAGAAAAATATTTTATTGGTCTTTATATTTTTCAGCATTTAATACAGAACATTGCACAAAACAGATGCTCAAAAACTGTTTTTTGTCTTTGCAAACTAGCGTACAGTTAAGGTAGTGTCTTACCTACAGAGAAAGGGCAAACCAAACTCACCCTAACAAGCCTCAGGCCCAGCACCGCTTTAGCCTGACAAGCAGAAGCCACTCACCTTCCCACATGAGTCTGAGCACTGTGGCTTCCCGTGCAGATTCAGAGAGGGGCACAGCAGAAATGGCCACTGAGGGGTTGTCAGGAAAGAAGCCAGAGGCACCCGACCCTGCAGACGTGGGCACCTTCTCGCAGTGGCCACTGAGGGTGTGATTCCCTGACAAGGACTCGCTGCCTATAGCGCTCACCCTCAGTTTCTCTCTTTTCCTTATGGCACTGGGGATTGAACCCAAGGCCTTGCGCACGCTGAGCTCACGCCATACCACGGAGCCACGCTCCCAGTCCTCTCCCCCGATTTTGAGCCTGGAGTTTCAAATTCAAAACAAATGCGAGCCGAACACATCCTTGCTGGCCTCTTGTTTCCCCGCTAGCTGAAGGGCTGGGGCCGAGTGTGAGCTGCTGTTTTCCTGCTGACGTGACCAAGGCAAGGGTGACCGTCTCTGCTGAGCTGTGCTTCCTCCTTTCCTCATTGGCAGCAGCAGCTGTGGCTGGGGACTCTGGGGAAGGCAAGCGTACAGTGCACCCTGAAACTGTGCCCCTTCACACACTGGCTCTCAAACGTGAGTATGAGTCAGAATCACTAATTCCTTGCTATACCAGTTGCAGGACCCCACCCTGGCTGGTGATTCAGTAGATCTACGGAGGGCACTGATGGTTTGCAGTGCTCAAGTCCCAGCTGATATTGCCAAAGGTGGCCTGGCTGACAGAATCACTGGCTTGAACAGCGGGCCTCAGGGATGACCAGAGTGAAAGCCCTGGCGAACAGGAAAATACAGGAAATTCATCTTCAAGTCCTGCTTGCTTCATTTACTCAGGTGCCTGACAAATTCTTACTTAGTGAAGATTTTGTGACTTGATCATTTCTACTTGTGGAAACAGAGGACCTGGGTGTTTTCCATCAGATATTTCACAGACCAAACACACGTCATCGCCTTCTCTGTAAAAGCAAGATACGGGCATACTGAGTTTCCGGCAGGGGCTGTTCTCCAAAACCTGCTGTCTCATAGATCTGTATTACTGACTCAAATTTAGACCAAGGGCAACATAAATAAACTCGCCTTCAGGAACTAGCCTTGTGTCTCACCACCGCCCCGGAACAAGCTCTATTTATACTGGACAGCAAAATCTTGAGAGTAGTTGCTAAGCTTAGCACCATACTATTAATATACATTGACAATTTAAAAGCAGATTATCCAGTGACAGGTTATAATGTTCATTAGGTTGTGGTTGTTGAAAAAATTTTAACTTAGCAACAAGAAGACTAAAACTGGTGTCTCCAGAGGGATCTAGCTTTTGTCCTCTCTGCCGCTCACCAGTGGCCTTGTGGCTCAGCGCTGGCCCTGCAGATACAATGGGAAGGAACAAAGGCGCTGAAGGGGCTCAGGCAGCACGTGCTGGGTCGGTATATTGATGATTTCGAGCTGAAATCTCCAGAAGAACCGAAACTTCAGAAAGGACCATTTGGCCTGACTTGCAGCACATCCGGAGAGCCAGAAAGGTTCTTCTGGAGACAGGCTGGAGGTGGCTCAGGAGGGGAGTGACTGCCTCTCGTGTACAAGGCCCGGGTTGGACACACAGCTCAACGAAAATGAAAAGTTTCTTTTGGGAAAAATACCCTTGATCCCTGAGACCGGTAACCTGGGCCTTAAAAGAACC